GGAGAAAGCAGAAGTTGGTGATCATGTTTAAGCCTCTGACTCCAGCCACACCTGAGTGAATCCAACGTCCGCAGCAAGCAAGGACCGGGATCCCCCCCTTCTCCTTCCAGGGATACCGTTTGGGGCTATGGACCCCAGAATAAGAAGGTTTTTATTTTTTTTTAATGTTTTTTTATTTATTTCTAGGAGAGAGAGAGAGAGACAGAGTGAGCAGGGGAGGGTCAGAGAGAGAGGGAGTCACAGACTGAAACAGGCTCCAGGCTCCGAGCTGGCAGGCAGCACAGAGCCCGACGCGGGGCTCGAACCCACGAACCGCGAGATCATGACCTAAGCGAAAGTCGGACGCTTAACCGACTAAGCCACCCAGGCGCCCCATAAGAAGGTTTTCAAAACTGAGATCCAACATCCTCAGAAATGTGGCGGCAGAGGGGGGACGAAAATGAAGTCTCCTCACTGGTTCTCCAGCACTCTTTTTTTTTTTAAATTTCTTTTTATGTTTTATTTATTTCTAGGAGAGAGAGAGAGAGACAGCGTGAGCAGGGGAGGGTCAGAGAGGGAGGGAGTCACAGACTGAAACAGGCTCCAGGCTCCGAGCTGGCAATCAGCACAGAGCCCGATGCGGGGCTCGAACCCACGAACTGCGAGATCATGACCTAAGCAAAAGTCGGACGCTTAACCGACTAAGCCACCCAGGCGCCCTCTCCAGCGCTCTTGCACCGGACGCGGGCCTCTTTCTGGAATATCGCTCCTCAACTCTGGGGCTAACACTATCAAGTAAATAAAACACAAGTAAGGAAACCCCGGAGAGATTGCCCTGAAGGGACTGAGGGGGGAAGATGGGACTCGGGGCATGCATGAGGGAGGGGTGGCCAGGACAGACGGGTCACCTGCCTTAAGGGGTGTCTCAGAGGCAGTTAGAAGTGGAGGGAAAAGGTGAGTCTGGGATTTTCTCACATGGGTAACTAGGTGCTCTCTGTTAGGCCAGGATGGCCTGATTATGGCTGGGATTTGATGGAAATGACAGCAGCCATGGTTATGTTAGAAATCTTCCTGCAAATGACAGAAAACCTGACGCAAATTAGCCTAACCAAAAAAAAAAAGTTGATCAGCTCTTCAAGAAGTAATGGCTTCACGAGAGGCCTGGGTGGCTCAATCAGTTAAGCAGCAGACTTTGGTGCAGGTCATGATCTTGCAGTTCAGGAGTTCAAGCCCCACATTGGGCTCTGTGCTGACAGCTCAGAGCCGGGAGCCTGCTTCAGATTCAGTGTTTCTCTCTCTCTGCCCCTCCCCTGCTCATGATCTGTCTCTCTCTCTCTCAAAAATAAATATTTAAACATTTTTTTAAAAAGGAGTAATGGCTTCAGGAACACTGGTCTGGGTGCTTAGGCAGGCTATCAGAACTCAACTTTCTTTTTTTTTTTTTAATTTTTAACGCTTATTTATTATTGAGAGAGACAGCGTGAGTGGGGGAGGGGCAGAGAGAGGGAGACACAGAATCCAAAGGAGTCTCCAGGCTCCAAGTTGTCAGCACAGAGCCCAGTGCGGGGCTCGAACTCACGAGCACTAAGATCATGACCTGAGCCAAAGTCAGATGCTTAACCCATTGAGCCACCCAGGCGCCCCAAGAACTCAACTTTTCTATTTCCACTTGTGTCCACTCTGCTTTCCTCTGTGGTGCCTTTGTTCACTGGCAAGCTCTCTCCAAGCAGAAGCCTGTACCCCTAACCCCCCAGTGGCCCCCCCAATGGATAAAGAGCTTCTCTTTGCAAGCAGTTCCACCAAAAGTCTCAGGAATGTGTCTCATTGGCCTGAATTGGGTCACGTGTTCCAGTATCAACCAATTACTGAGGTCAGGAGGTGGGATATAATGATTGGCTCATCCTGGGTCACAGTCAGTGCCAAGCTTACCCCCACCTGAGCCCTGTAAACATTTCCAATGCAAACCTGGCGGTGGAAGGAGGCGGGACACTGAGAAGGTGAAAACAAAAGATGTCCTCTATAGAGGTGAGAAGATGGTCTGCAAATTGCTAATAATAACTTTTTCCCCCCTGAAATCAGTTAAGTTCAGGAAACACCAGGTTTGGCAAAGAGAAACAAAGATATTTATCACAAGATCTCTCCTGAGCCATTAACTTTTTATTAACGCACATCTTCCCAGGCTCTCCTGGCCACGGAATCCTTTCCTGAGAAGCTTCTCCCCAGATTCATGGGCCACAAGATGCATTTTGGGAAAAACAGCACCCAACACCCCGGAGAGCCCAAGCTCCTGTGGCAGTCACCGTCAATGCCTCCGCACAGGTCACTGAGCTGACCTGAGTCGCCGCCAGCCCCTGCCTTCCCTTGCTCGAGGCTTGCTTTGGCCGCTGGAAGCCACTGTGCCCGTGTGAGTGGCAAGCCAGAAGTTTCAGGAGAATTGAGGAGTGACTGCTCAGCACAGACGTGAAAGTAACCCCAGCTCCCTTCCAGGGCCAGGATGGCCGGCACCCACACGGCTCCTGGCCGCCTCCCTGCAGGCTGTCACAGGACTGTGCCCCAGGGCTGGGCACGAAGCAGCTTTATACTGCACCCTTGTTAGATGCCTTCCTTTTCGTGTCTCACTCCCTTACTCTGGGCCAGTGTTTTGGGGGCCACCTCCCCAACACACTGCTTGCACTAGGACTCTCACCTCAAGGACAGCTTCCGAGAAAACCCAAATCAAAAGAGCTGTTGCCTCCTGATGCCTCCGAGAAGCACTCAGATGTGTCCCCCAGCAATTCCAGAAAACACTCTCTGTTACCACTGAATCTACCTTTCCTCCGGCAACAGACTTCAAGGGGAAAAAAAACCTATTTCCACTCCCCGGCTTCTATCTGCGGGAATTCCTTCTGCCGGCCACCCCTGTGGGCTAAGACACCCCAGCCCCAGCCCCGCAGACCTCACTGCATTGACTCTGTCTGTCCTGGCTGGCTCATCGACTGCTGAAGCAAAGCCACGTCCTCTCGCTGGTCCGAGAAGCAAAATTGGGAAGCTGCTTAGTTAGTGCTTCAGGGAATCCCCCTACCCCCAATCCACCAAGGGAAGGACCAGAGTCACCTTGGACTTTCCCATGCCTCACAAGGCAGGGCCCACCTGTCACCACGCCCCTTGCTTCGGCCTCCTGAACATATTCCACACCCCTCTCCGTTGCTCCTGCCACTTCCTTGGCTAGCCCACCACCGCTTCTCATGCAGATACTCCCAAAGGCCTCCTCACCCCGCCCCCCACCTCAGGGCCTTTGCATATGCTGCTCCTCAGGCCTGGAACCAACCTGCCTCGGCACAGACAGACCATCAGTCCTCAGCCCGTTTACTGTCTCTTAAAGCTGCCCAATCCTCCTGCCCCCAATTATTCCCTCCTTGGGCCTTGGTCTCCCTTATTACGAAACCGCTTAGATAGGCAAACACTTAAGAGAATGCTGTCTCAAACACTGTGTACCTAACCCTGCTTAAGAATAAGACATCACTGGGGCGCCTGGGTGGCTTAGTCGGTTAAGCGTCCGAGTTTCGCTTAGGTCATGATCTCGCGGTTCGTGGGTTCGAGCCCCGCGTCGGGCTCTGTGCTGACTGCCAGCTCAGAGCCTGGAGGCTGTTTCAGTCTGTGACTCCCTCTCTCTCTGACCCTCCCCTGCTTACGCTGTCTCTCTCTCCTAGAAATAAATAAAAAACATTTTTAAAAATTTTTTAAAAAGAGTAAGACATCACTTGGGGCACCTGGGTGGCTCAGCCAGTTAAGTGTCTGACTTCGGCTCAGGTCATGATCTCACAATTCATGGGTTCAAGCCCCGCGTCGGGCTCTGTGCTGACAGCTCAGAGCCTGGAGCCTGTTTCGGATTCTGTGTCTCCCTCTCTCTCTGACCCTTCCCTGCTCACGCTCTCTCCCAGAAATAAATAAAACATTTAAAAAAAGAAAAGAATAAGACATCACACTTCTCACTGAGGCCTTCCTGAATGCCTTGCCGACCCTTCCCCATGCTCTGCCTCTCTCCTGCACTTGGCGTTCCCCGTGGCTTTGCCTATTTGCACCTGTTGTGTATCCTTGAACCATCTACTTCGGTTTTCATGTTTCCAACTTTATATATATATATACACACACACACACATATATGTATATATGTATGGAATATGTTCATATATATGTATATATATATACATACATAAAGCAACTTGTTTTCTGGTTCTCGCTCCATGTTCTCTTGCTGATATTTATCTGTGCTGACAGGTGTTGCCCGATGCACTCATTTTCACCCGCTGGGGGGCATCCGTGACTTGACCAGGCTACAGCCCCCCACCCCGTCCATTCTCCTGGTCACAGCCCCTGCCGGTGCCAGCTGTTGGCCATTGCAAGGCTGCCCCGAGCCCCCGGTACCCGCCCCCTGAGCCCGCGTGCTAGTTTCTCTGGATTTATACCCAGGAGTTTGCTAGGTAGAGAGACACACCTTCTTTGGCCTTACTGATGTTGCTAGATCCTTCTCCAAGGTGCTTGCACCAGCGTACCTCTGTGATCAACTTGCTGTTCCTGGGCCCAGGCACAAAGGTGCCTCTTCTTGTCTATTTCCTCCAGATTAGCTCTACCTGTTGACATCCAGCCTGTCCAGCCTCCCTCCCCAGTTTCTCCAATCGCGCCTCTTACAAGCTTTCCTCGTAGAGCAGCCGACTCTTTGTACCACACCCAGAGCCACTGACATTAACATTGGCAGCAGCGACTCTGGAGACCAACAGCCCTGGGGTCGAATCCCAGACTTATCACTTGGGCTGTGTGCCTCTGGGCAAATTGCTTCTCCTCTCTGTGCCTGTTTCCTCACCTGCAACCACAGGTCCACAGGGCAATGGCAGCGACCGAATGAGGTAAGCACGGAAACGCAGCATGTGCTTGACGACAGGCTGTCACTATTGCCTTCGGAGCCAACGGAGGACGCCGACAGCTGTGTGCATCATTCAGGGCTACTTTGGGTGTATGCAACAGAAACCCCAAGTCAAGCCGGGTGAAGACAACCGATAATTTATTGGTCCCTGTAACTAGGAAGTCTGAGGGGGTGTCTCACTTCAGGTGTGACTGGACCCAGGAATTCTGACCCCCTGTCCACCTCTGGGCCATTCTCTCCTCCACATCGGCTTCGTTCTCGGGCAGGCTCTCTGAGTACGGCCTCCAGGAATATATTCTGCCGGTTTACCAACTGCCATGAACGAAAGAGCTTCTCCTTCCAGTTGCTTCTGGCCCAAGTCCCAGGGCGGGTCTTCAGTGGCCCGGATTGGGTCCCACGCCCAGACCAGAGCCAATCACAATGACCAAGGCATCCGCCAGAAAGTGCTTGAAGTCTGGTTCTCGGAAAGGCACTATCAGAACCACTGGCAGTTCCTCTGAAATGCAGATTCTTGGACCCCAGCCCAGCCCTACTCGTTCAGAGCCCGCACTTCAGCAAGCCCTCCCGGTGAGTCATCGCACACCCAAGTCGGAAGGGCTGCACTGCACGTTGCTTTTCAGTAGCTTGGGGTCAAGTCCACTCCCTGCTTCAAAGATGGAGAACCTGAGGGCCAGCAGGAAGCAGTCTTGCTGCAGGTCACTCTGCGCCCAGGGCTTCCCCGTGCCCTGCCCTCCCATCCCCCCAGCCATCGTCGGCCGTGTGTCCGGTGGACTATCTCGTGGGGGGGATGCATCGAAGCCTTGAAGCCCACAAGTGTCAGCCTGGGTCACACTCGCCTCACACAAAAGCGCCCCCCACACCCCGCAGGCACCACTCGGCCACTCCCATTAGCTGGTCAGGACCCACAAGAGCATGGTGGCCCCAGGGAGGATGGACACACACACACACACACACACACGTGCGTGCCCTCAGACACTCCCGCACGGGCGCCCAGGCACAGCGCACCCTCACTCGGACTCCCACCCCCCGAGCCCCCCAAAGGCAAGAGCGTACGGACCACACCAGCCTTTATTCTACTGCAGAATAGGGCTGGGGCCAGGGTAGTTCATTCTCAGGCTGTGTCAGAAGGTGCAGAGTGTTGGGGGCACACAGACTGGACCCCAAAGTGACAATAAGTTAGGGGGGAGATTCTCAGACTGTTCTCTGGCGGGAGTCAGGGTGGGGGTGTCAGGGAGGCCCCCCCCAGGCCCACTGCCAGCTGCCCAGCACGGCACTCCCGGCCAAGCTGCTTCCAGGACGGGCACGGGCTCGCACTGAAACAACAGGGCCGGAGAGGGAGGGGCTGCGAGGTCAGGAGGTCAGTGGGGGTCAGGGGGTTCCCGGAGGAGTCTGAGGGCTGAGGGACCGGGGAGGGGTCGGCAGGGCCTCTCACCGGACCCTCAGTTAAGCCCCTGCAGGTTCTCATAATCCGGAAGTCCCTCTTCCTCGTCGTCGTCCACCTCCGGGGAGCTCAGGATGGCTGGGAGGGGGAGGGGGTTGGTCTTCAGCTCACAGACCGTCCCCCTGCCCCAGGCAGGGTCCCTGAGCTCCTGCCGCCACCCACCCCCCTCCCCCATCCCAGCACACACCAGTCTCGGTCCTGGCCACAGGCGGCAGCTCCTGGGACACATTCACGTACTCCCGGCTCCCATCTGCAGGGACAGATCAGAACGGGGGACGGTCACATGGAGGGTGAGGGGCAGGATGCTCAGAAAGACGGCCACAGCAGAGTGAGGGTCGGGGAGGCAAGGGGGACCCCAGGGGGCACCAGCCGCTCACCCAGAGACACGTCTGCGCTCTCCTCACTGTCAGGGACATTCACATAATCCTCCGCCGACTCCACTGCAGAGGAAGCAGGGCCCAGGCACTGTCACCCAGAGCCTCGGGCACAGACCCTGCAGGCCACCCGCCCCGCAGCCAGCCCCAGGCGGCCCCACAGAGGCTGTGGTGACAGAGAGAAGTAGGGCGGCTTCCCCAGAGCGGATGAGAGGGAGCGGAACCGTGGGGGAAGAGCAGACAGCATGTCGCCCGGGCTGGGGGCAGGGACAGAGAGCGGCTCGGAGCCACGGCGCCGGGCGGCACGTGTGCAGACGACGCGCGTGCGGTGCCGAGTCGGAGGCGCCATCGCCCCACTGGCCACGCCTGCCCTGACCCCCACTCCCATCCTGGAGTCTTCCAGCACCTGTCGCCATCAGTGCCACCTTGTCCTTTTTTGTTTGTTTATTTTTAAGTAGGCTCCATGCCCAGCCTGGAGCCCCAGGTGGGGCCTGAACTCTGACCCCGAGATCAAGACCCAAGCCAAGATCAAGAGTCGGACGCCCCAGTGCCTGAACCACCCGGGTGCCTCCCACCTATTTTGTCCTTTGGCGCTGACTTATTTCTCCACGAGGCCGTGGACGAGGCAGGTTTGGGAGTCAGAGAGCCCCGCTGCAAACCCAGCTCGCGCACGGACAGTCCTGTAACCTCACACCAGCTACCCAGCCTCTCGGGGCCTCGGCGTTCTCATCTGGAGAAGAGGGTGAGGGACGGCACCCGCCTCCCAGGCGCGCCGTGAGAACTAAAGCCAAGGCAAGTGCCGCCAAGCATCTGTGAAATATGTGATCCCTCCTGTTGGGAAGTCGGGACAACTGAGGTGCAGGAGGGGAAGAGGTGGGCTCGACAGCAGCGGGGGATCGGGAGGTTTAATGAGTTAATACTCCTAGGAGGGCACGTAGTAGGTCCCAGACAAGCAGAGCGTCTTTATCAGGACGGTCCCTCGCGAACTGTTTTATCAGAGGCACCCAGTAAACACGGCGAGTGAGGGAGGGATGGATGAATAAAGGAGCTCAGGGGAGGTGGGGAGTTGGGAATCGAGATGGCAAATGAAGCCGTGGTGTAGAAGGGATGGCCCGGAACAGGGACGGAGAGTGAGGAGAGAGACAGAAAATGGAAGGTCACCAGCCATGGAAGGAAGCCCTAACAGGCAATGTGAGGCCAACACGAAGGGAGAAACGCAGCTCAGAGGAAACCGAAATGATGCCGGAAGCAGAAGAAAACGTCCCATCAAACCCTCAAAGAAGACAATCAATGATCAATACCCTCAGAGCTGTACAAGACGGTATTGTCGCTGTGAAACAAGAACAGGACACTATGAAAAAGGAATGCCAGCGACCGAGAAAGAGCTTTCAGATAAGAGAGACAAAAGAATGGAGTCTCAAGGAACAGTGCAGTTAGAGAAATCTCACAGTCAACAAAGGGAAAAAGTAAGGAAACCAGCAGGTCAGGGTGGAAGTCCACCCCGAGGGACAGGTGTTCTAGAAAGAGAGGGGAGAGACTGTGGAGGGGCAGCGAGCATCAAAGAAAAACAACGGGGGAGGGAAGAGCGGAGGGGCCGCAGAAATGGCCAACTCACTGGAGAAGGCGCTGTCTCGGAGGCCGGGGTTGCCGGGCGCGGGAGCTGGCGGGACAGCAGTGCTGGTGGCTGGTGTGCTGTCGGGAAGCACCTCCCTGAGGACAAGTAAAGGGGGGAGGGGGCACGGGTGAGCGAGGGCCCCCGGCTGGAGCTCCCCCCCCCCGCCCCCCACCTGGCCACTCACAAGTAGCCCTCGTTGGGATAATCCTCCTCCTCGTCTTCATCGTCGTCCTCACAGGGCTCTGAGGTAACGACACAGCGATCAGCAGGGCCCGGCCCAGGCCCCAGCCTCCCTGCGACCAGTGCAGCTGGAGCCCCAGACGCACCCTCATTCTCGTAGCTCGCCACGCTGTTGGCTTCGGAGAGGGAGCAAGGGGGAGGTCAAGTCAGCTCAGACCAGGCCTACCCTCTGCTCAGCCCCGGGCCCCCTGAGCCCCGATCCGCGCTTACCGCCATCGGAGTCCTGCCGGCAGGATGGCATGCGGTGGGAGCCCCCAGGGGGCTGCGGGGACCTCCTGGGAGGCAAAGGTCAGAGGTCATGCTGAGGTGGGGCACTGGACCAAGAGGGCTCGAAACAGGGAAAGAGACCCCCACGGCACAGAGGGGGTACGAAAGGGCATTTGGAGGGGAGGATGCTACTCACGGGATGGGAAGCAGGTCCGGCTGGCTCAGGGGCGGGTAGGAGGTAACAGGAGGGTAGGCGGTGGCTGGTGTCCAGGTGGCGAGTGTGGCTGAGGACACAAGCCCAAGCTCAAGGAACGACTCCAGGCGTTTTGCCCTCATACTCATCGAGGCCTCGAAGGCCAGGCTAATCCCGTGAGCCCCCTGGGCCTGAGGACACCCAGCTCCCTCCACATCCCCAGCTCAGGGCAAAGCCATGTGGGTGGCCGCTGGGGGAACCTGAACAGAGGCCCACTTTCTCTCACACACCAGGGGACCCCCTCCCCTCTACCCGAGGCAGGGGACCCTCCATAGACTCACGAGGGCGTTTGATCACGATGCTACTCGGGGTCAAGCTGGCAGGGGAGACACAGGCAGACAGGTAAGGGGCAGGAGAGACCCCGGCTCCCATCCCAGCCCCCTCCCCAGGGCCACACGGGGTACAGAGGGAGCCACAGAGGGTGGGCCGGCAACTCACCTATCGGCGGCTGTGCTGTCGTAGGGCCCTGGGGAAGAGAAGCCAGTGAGGAGGCAGGAAGAGGGGTGACGAGGGGAGAGGCAGGGAGAGCGGGGCTCGGGTCTCACAGTTGGGGACAGTTAAGATGGGGGGCCAGGGGCTGAGGGGGGCCGAGCCCGGCTCCCCCCACACCCTTGCTCACCCGGCAGCTCACGGCATCGCACGCACAGCACCACGGCCAGCAGCGGCAGCAGCAGGAGGCCCAGCACGTAGGGGATCAGGACGACCGCCTCCATCTGCGGGAGAGAGCTTGCGCCAGGCCCGGCTGCCCGCTGCACACCCCCTCAAGGGCCAGGCCAGCAGGGGTGCAGGAGCCGGGTGGGCACAGCCTGGAGGCCCTACGGGGGCGGTGGGGGAAGGGGAGAAGCCCTCAAGGACTCGTTGCGCCCCTTCCCCTTTCCGGCCTGAGTCGGCGTCAGCACCGCCTGTGGCAGCCCCCTTGCTCCCTGGGCAGTCAGGCCAGGGTCCGGGCTGGAGTCTGGGGCACCAGTCACCCGGCGGCGTGACCCCTGCGCCCCAGCCCTACCTGCCCCTCAGGCTAGGCGCCTGCTTCTCCTCGCCTGCCCGCCTGTGGCAGGAAGCTGTGGTGAGCCCCGGGCGAGGGCAGGAAATCATCGGGCTCAGCCGGCTGCACCCGCCCCCTTCCCACCCCCACCCAGCCAGTGGGGAGGGGGAGGCGGAGGCCCGATGAGCCACCCGCAGGCCCTCAAGAGGGGTCTGCTGGCCTCCAGCACGGACAGCAACCCCTACCAGGGGACGACGGGCAAGACGCGTACAGGCCAGCCGACAGCCACGGCCTCCACAGCTGAGGCGGCCAGCAGGGAGGGCGGGGGGCCCTGCCCTGGGAACCCCAAGGGGCACAGGGCAGTGCCCACCCCACCTCACCCTGGCCAGCCTGCCAAGAGGGGCGGGCTCTAGGGGAACCATGGTTGTGACTCACGGTCACACTGGGCTAGCTCACTCCACGCTGCTGTGCACCAGGCCCAGGAGAGCAGGGACTCGCCTAAGGCCCCACAGGGGTGACCCAACAGCCCCGGGGGTCCTGGGGCTGAAGGGCAGCCCCCACCTCTGCCAGTCAGAGATCACTCACGCCCAGAGAGACACAAGCAGGCACTAGGGGTCTGACTACAAATTTTATTCAGTTACAAATAGCACCAAGCCCCTGGGGCCGCCCCAGCGGGTGGAGAGGAAGGTCCCTCCCGGACCCACAGACCCCCTGGCCCGGCTGCTGCCTGTGTAGTGTGTGGAGCTGGACCGTGGCCCCAGGCCGTCCCTAGAAGCAGGGCCGGTCCGAAGGTTTGGGCCCGGGCACCTTCTGGGGTGGGCCCAGGGCCAGCTGGGACAGGGACACGGGCTGGCGAGCGATGGCTCCTCAGATGAGCACGCTGGACACGGGGACGCGAGTGGAGCGGCCTCGCTGGGGTACCACGATTCGGTCATCGGTGGGCCCTGCCTCATGCAGCAGACCTGCCGGGAGAGGGGTCAGAGCCAGGGCTGGATGCACACAGAGACACAGAGCCAGGAGGGGACAAGACAGGCGGTGGGAAGTGGACGGGGCAGCGGAGCCACCAGAGCCGTGGGCACAGTGGAGTATCAGCTCATCCAACAGGTGGACGCAAAGCAGAATGGGGGAAGAGCCGTGGGCTGCGAGAAGCCGGGGACCCAGGCCTGCACAGTAGGGAGTACCATGATGTTGAGCGAGGAGCCAGGGACGGACGAAGGGAAGGCCCCACTGACCTTGCACGTGCAGCTGGGCCCGCCGGCGGTCACCCTCAATGAAGACAGCAGTGCCCAGGAAGGCTGCCCCGCCCAGAGCCCCGACGAAGGCGCAGAGCATGAGGGAGAACTGCAGGGCTCGGAACTCGGACAAGAAGGAGGGGGGCCAGCTCCGGCGGAGGCGGTCGGAGATCTGCAGGGAGACAAGAAAGGAAAGCCAGGAGAATGAGTCGTGGACGGGGAGCCCCCAGACTCCAGAAGGACAAAGAAGTCAGGAGCCAGCAAAGGAGGACAGTCTGGATGAGCGGGGAAGGCCCCGTGGCCTCGCTGCGGAATCTTCTGAGACAAAGCCCTGCCTGGCTGGGGGCGGACCCAAGGTGACGGGCACCGGGCACAGAGAGCACAGACACCTAACTGGGGTCTGGCCTTCTTTTTTTTTTTTTTTTTTAATGTTTTATTTATTTCTAGGAGAGAGACAGCGTGAGCAGGGGAGGGTCAGAGAGAGAGGGAGTCACAGACTGAAACAGGCTCCAGGCTCTGAGCTGGCAGTCAGCACAGAGCCCGACGCGGGGCCCGAACCCACGAACCGTGAGATCATGACCTAAGTGAAAGTCGGACGCCCAACCGACTAAGCCACCCAGGCGCCCCGGGTCTGGCCTTCTAAGTCAGCTCGAGCTCAGGCCAATGGCCGCTGGCCAGTGCCCAGAATGCAGGGTCCCCCAGTCCCCACGCCAGGCCCAGCCAAGGAGCAGTGCTCACCAGGCCAATGAGGTAGGGGCTCCCAGCGTCACCCAGCAGGTGGGACAGCACGATCTGGAAGGCCTCAGCGGTGGACCGTCGTGTGGGGATCACCACATACTGCGGGCAGAAGGGGCGGGAGGCAGAGGGCAAGGACGGGGCCAAGGCTCAGTCTCAGCTGAGGTCAAAGGTGAACCCCAGCCCTGAGGTGTGAGTGGGGTGAACGCCCAGACTCCAGGCCCAGCTGGGGCTGACTCTGAATTCAGTGGAGGGTCGGGTTCAGAAGATGGGGTAAAGGCCTCAATTAAGGCAACTGAGGCCTCTACCCCTCACTCCTTGCTCCCGACAGCCTCTGGGCTAACCCTGCAGTGGCCCGCCTACTCACCAACAGAATGTCAGCCACGATGGCCCAGTTCATGGACAGCAGTGTCTCTCCAATAAAGATGAAAATCTGGGGGGTCGGAAGTGGGAAGATGGGGGAGGGCAGGGGGATCGGTCTCATCAAAAGAAGAGCAAACACACGGCCCTGTACTAGGCCCATGTAATAACTCATTTAATTCTCATAACACCGTTGGGAGACAAAGCTATTATTCCCACTTCACAGATGATAAAAATTGAGCAGAGAGAGGTTAACTCACTTGCCCAATGTCACACAGCTGGGAAGAGCCAGAGTCGAGATTCAGAACCAGGCATTCTGGTCCACGTGGTCTCTGAGCCACCATGCTGACTGACCCCAGTCCTGCCCCAGCGCACCGTCCCACCACCCCAGACCCAGAGCACCCCTTCTGACACCTGCGGCTACTCACATAGGTGGCCACGATGCTACCACGGGCACAGGCAAGGGACAGGAAGAGGAAGGGCGCGGAGCCCAAGAGGCCAGCAGCACAGACCAGTGGGTCAGCCCGGGGGTTGGAACGGCGGAGGCGGCGGCTGATCTCCACGCCCAGGCCCACACCCAGGACCCCGGTCAGGCAGGTGATGAGCCCAAAGATGAGGCTGGAGGCAGGGGGAGGGCCATGGGAGCCAGTCCCTCTGCCTGCAAAGCCCCCTCACCTCCCCCACACAGCCCAGGGAAGAAGATGGTCCGTCCCAGCCGCCCTCAGCCCAGGTCTACCCAGGTGTCCTGTGGTTCACAGAGCGCCGAGAGGAAGGCATTATCCCAGCATCTATTTCCTCCACCAGGAAAACAGACTGGGAGGGGAAGTAGCCTGACCCCGAATCAGTGGCTCTCCCCACTCTCTCCCCTGCCACCTGCAGGCCACCTAGCCGAGCCCCCATCTGGGTACCTGTCAGAAGAAGAGCAGGAGTCTCCAGGAAGGCAGGGTGGGGTCTCCCCCAGGACCACACGGGAACGCAGCAAGAATGCAGGAGCCCAAAGAGCCAGGGAGCCCGTGACAAAGGCCACGGCAGTGAAGCCGAGGGAAGAGAGGATGAAACTAGGGCTGAAGACAGTTGGGAAGGAGGAAATCAGACTCACAGAGGTGTCAGGATAGGGGACCTCTACTCTCCCTTGCTGGCTTATTTTTAAAGTAAGGTTAGGGGACGGAAGCGTGGAAGCTGCCTTGGCTCCCAAGATCTGGGCCTGTAATTCAAGCAGCTGCCACAAGGGGGCAGTGGTGACCAAATGCCTGCCCTTGGGGAAGGGCCAGCTGGCAGAAAACAAAGACTGCACTCCTGTAAATCTCAAAACAGATACTGAGGCCTCCCTGGGGGTCTCAGATGTCGGGTTAGAATGGAACTAAACTCACTTCCTTCCCAGAGCCCTCAGATCTGCCCACCACGAGGTGGGGTTCAGGGGTGGCGAGTCTGAGTGGCGTTCCACAGCTCCCCTTGGCGGCTCCCGGACTACCAGGAACAGCAGCAGAACAGCCACCACTCCCAGACCTGGTGTCACCTGGGGAAAGAGCGGGCTTCAGGACGGGCACAGGCAGGCAGGGACACACAGCACCCCTCGCATGGGAGAAAGTGAGGGGGTGTGAAGGCAACACAGGCCCCAAGATCTAAACACCCAGTAAAGCACCTGCTCAAGGAAGCTGAGCCTGTGTTTGGAGGGAGGGGCCAGTGCCACCAGGGGCCCCCTGCTTCTGCAAGCCCAATTGCTCCCTCTTTGCTAACAGCACCTTAATTTCCTTTTGGGAAACTACTTCCCCCACTTCTCTCAGCCCATGTGGTTCAAACAAGGCAGGGTCTATAACCCAGACTTGGCCGACAAGAGTGGTGTTAACCTCCCTGGCCTCGGTGACTGTTTCAATGGCAGGCATGTGACCCGTGTTCATCTAATCAGACACCATCCAGGACTATTGCTCAACGATCCAGGGTGGCGAAGTTTCTAAATGGGAAGATAAACACGTGGAGCTTTCACTTGCTTGAGAATGAAATTAACACGGAGGAAGAGTAGAGCTGAGAAAAAGGATGATCAAATTCCTGGGATGGGAGTGAGAGTCCTGGATCCAGCCTTACCTGAAGCTCACCCTGGGACTTTCCATTATAGGAGCCAACAGAGTCCCACTTGGGAGCTTCCAGTTTTACAGTGGGCTCCTACCACTCACCACCCAGAGTTCTGGCTAGCACATGGCTTCATGGGGGGAGGGGCGGGGGAGCAGCCAGGCTTCCCACAGGCTGGGCAGAGTGAGCACTGCCTTAAGAGCGGCGGGGAGGGGGGGGTGTCTGAAGGCAGGAGAGGGAGAATCAGTGAGAATATTGCTGACCTTCCCCCAGGCTGTGTCCAGACTCACCCGCAGAGCCCAGTGCCAGTCTCCGGCCACATCTTTCACTTTGGAGCCTGCAATGTAACCCAGACCACTGGGGAACGGGGATGCGAGAGAGGGGACAGCCAGTCAGTCATGCCCCGTGCCAGGCCCTTCTGCCTCCCCCGCGCCCTCCTCCCAGGCCCAAGGCCCACCCACCTGCCCACCGGGATGGCAAAGTAGAACACGCTGAGCATGCGGCTCCGCTGGTCCGCCACAAAGAGGTCTGCGATGAGGGTGGGCGCGATGGTGGAGTAGCTGGCCTCCCCGACCCCCACCAGGCCCCGGGTCAGGAGGAGTAGCCAGAATCGCTAGGGAACGAAACA